AAATAATTTCCAAAATAATTTTAGAAATTCCTTAAAAGTAAATCTCGAGGCTGTACCATGATCTACAAAGCGTCTGGCTACCATCTCTATTCTTCTAGTCCTTGTACCATATCCCCACTGGTATCCCTGGTGTTTCAAAACTTGCCAAACATTAATTTAAATTAAATTTAAATATACATGTCAGAGCCTTTGTACTGATTTGTTCCCTGTGCCTGGAATGCTCCTCCCAGAATATGCAAGTGTTTTACTCCCTCCCTTTATACAGTTCTCTGCTCAAACATCATTTCTCAGAGCGATCCATCACACACCACGTTTTATCTCATCCGTTTCCCTTGCTTTATTTTTCATCACAGCACCCACTAATGTATGCAGTATATCTCATTTTCACCTGTCGATTTATTGTTCCTACTCTCTGGAATAATGTTTTACATGCAGGCAGTAATTGTTGAGTGAATACATGAGTAAGAGCCAGAGGACAGTCTATTAAGTACTTGATTTGTGGATTAAAGTTCTTTCCAACACAGTGTTGCAGTGGTATTTAAAGAAGACTACTGTCTGTAATACATCTTGCAGTTTTTTGCCTCTGTGCTTCTGCTCATATCATTATTTACCCCTTCCATCCTTTTCTCTCCGACTCCAGATACTTTCGTCAGAGTTCTGCCTTTGAAACTTTCACTGAACACACCCACTGTCTCTTTCTGAACCCCCCGGGGCCCACGGCACTCTGTCATTATCCCTCCCTTGTCTCGTGTATCATCGGTCTCTGTTTATCTTAATTCCCCAACCATAGGCTCCATGAGTGGAGATTACATTTATGTATTCTTTTTTTTTTTTTTACTTTACACTTTCATATACAATTAAAATGGAATTAACTTTGATATTTTTGCTACAAGAAAAACATTTATTAACAATTTTGAATCCCAAAGAGTGTACTATAAGGAAATGATCACTACCATCAATGTTCAGACATGCCAACACACACACACCGCATTCTTACTAAAAAATGTGATTATACCATACATGTTATCTAGTAACCTGCATTTTTAAAAATACCTTAAGATCATATCAGGGATAATGTTCCATTTGATGGCTATAAGCCTTCATTGTCACTTTTTTTTTAAGATTTATTTATTTGAGAGAGAGAGAACATTGAATGAGTGGGGGGCGGGGCAGAGGGAGAGAATCTTTCAAGCAGACTTCCCGCTGAGTGCGGAGCCCAACGCAGGGCTCATTCCCTTGACCCATGAGATCATGAGCTGAGCCGAAACCAAGAGGTAGACGCTCAACCAACTGAGCCTCCCAAGCGCCCCTTCACTGTCACTTTTAATTGCTGCCGTGTTTAGTTGCATTTAACCAATCTCTTACTGACTGACTTTGAAATTGTTTGCAATTTTTCACTATCATACATGTGTGATGTACGCTTTTAGGTGCGGTGAGAAATTTGAAGAGAGGGTGCCTGGGTGGCTCAATCATTAAGTGTCTGCCTTCGGCTCAGGTCATGATCCCGGAGTTCTGGGATCGAGTCCCAGCGTCGGGCTCCCTGCTCAGCTCCCACTCCCCCTGCTTGTGTTCCCTCTCTCGCTGTCTCTGTCTCTGTCAAATAAATAAATAAAATCTTAAAAAAAAAAAAAAGAAATTTGAAGAGAGAATAGATTTCAAATCTTCATGATGGGAGGGCTGGAATGAGTTTACTAGAGAAATGCTCTTCACATTTTTTTTTTTTTAAACTAATGTGCCCCTTAAAGGAATTTTGAAAAACTTATGTGCTTTTGCACTTTTAAAAGTTGATATGTATAGTTTTTATTAAATTTAAATACATTTAAAGCCCATACTTTTTGGCAAATTATAAATATATACCTGTCAAAATTGAACTGTGACATTACTTTTTAAAATGTTTCTGACAGAATAAAAATATAGTGATTTGATATCTACCTTAATCTGTTTTTTAGAAAATCATGAACTAGCTTCTCTTTAATGATCTGAAATGCTATACAGTCCCTTTTTCTTCTTGAACTATTAATTCTATTCTACTTTCCTTACAGAGTCTATGCTAATGCAATATAGTTTTATATTTGAAAGTCTTTTATTAATCAACCATTGCAATCAGATTTGTGTGCATAAACGTATTTAAAATTTCCTGGGACCATAAGGTAATTTGTTAAATGCTAAATAAAAAAGCTGTTTTTTTCTCCAACTAGATAATATATGTATGGATGAGTGTTACTTGTTGGTAGAACGAAATAGGAGCAGCATGAATTTTTTTCTTATTTTCCATTTTTATAGATGTAAGTGCTGAGAAACATTTTCATGTAAATCAAGTGGATGTGACTGGGAGGAACTTTGTTATAGCAGTATCTCTCAATTCTTTGAATTCCTTCTGAGTTACTTGATAATGTGTCGGTGAAAAAACATTTTTAATGATCTGTTGGTGGCTATACAATTATGTTTTCTGTTTTACTGAAAGTAAAGACCGCAGTGCTAGAGAGATGTCTTAGGGCACCAGCAACAGGCATTGGTAGGAGCACATTTGATCTTGATGATTATGGACATTCCATCTACCACATCGTGTGCTTTGCTCCAGCCCTGCCAGGCTCCACGCGTGTAGCCCAGAGAAGGGGAGAGTTGGATTCAGTTAAGGCTGAACCTCTACCAGATGTATGTTGACTAAGAACTAAAAAATATGAAATAACAGGTGGTAGAATCTAAGCTGGACAAGGACAATGTGGAAGAAGACCACTGGTGGACTGGGGAAGAGTAGAGAGGAGAAGGTAAAGGGAAGGCTTTTCCAGGTGGAAGACTGGTTGGAGTAGTTGAAATGGCAAACTGGAAAGAGAGGTCATTGTGGCCTGATATGTGCTTCAGGATTTTTGGAGGTGGAGCAGCTGTGGGTCATGAGCATGTCCAAGGTGTGACCGTAATATGAAGTTCGTGAACTTCATTTGTTCATTTGTTTATGAACAAATTGCTGGAAAGGAGTTCATGGAAATAGGTGGTCATGGTGTCAAAAGTCCACGATGATTTTCAAAGGAATGAAGGCAGGGCTTGGAATGGATAGAAAGAATGTGAGGCAGGCATCAACACATCTAGACAGTGAGAGAAAGGCTCTTGAAATCTGGAAGGGGCGGGTCTTAAAGGAATTTAGTTTACAAGAAGCTGCAAGAGAAATGGTTTGGGAAGGGGTGTGGTAGGTATGGAAGGAACCAACTCATTGCGTGACTCTGATGTGTGAACACCTGCCATTTGAGAAGCACAGGGAAAGCCATGTCCTCAGGGGAGAGCCCCACTTATTAGAAGGAGAAACTTGTATTTATGACAGGCATTTTACTTCTATTAGACAGTGTGGTTCTGAACCACAAGCTTACTTAGTGGGTTAGTAAAACTTCATGGGGTACCTGGGTAGCTCAGTCGGTTAAGCGAACGACTCCTGATTTTGGCTCAGGTCATGATCTCATGGTTGTGAGATCGAGATCTGCCTCAGGGTCACGCTCAGCACAAGTGTGCTTGAGATTCTCTCCCTCTCCCTCTGCCCCTCCACACCGGCTCACGCTCTCTCTAAAAAAAACAACAAAGAAACAACAAAAAACCTCCCTCAGTTTCTTCTAGAGTTACTAGTTCTTTCAGTTTCCCTGTCTCTCCAGAATGAGTTTTGATCATTTATATTTTCCTCAAAAACCATTTATTTCAAATATATATTCAAATGTGTGAATATAGTGCTTTACAAATATTTTTATGTAGGTATGCATGTATGTGATTTATGTATTTAGTGGTAAATCAGCTCTGAGTTATAGAGATAAATTGTTTTTGTGTTTTTTAAATTAATTATGGATCTGCTTTGATACTTATTGATTCAAATCTGTTTTTAGGATCATCAAATTATATTTTCTCATTTGTAGGAATTACATCTTCATTTTCTCTTCTGAGATAAAAAAAATCCCATTTTTTTTAAAAAAGCATATCATCAATGAATAGAGAAATCAACATTTATTTTACTTTATTTTCAGTTCCACAAACTATTTTTCAGACGGTATAGTGCCTTGCTTCTAATTAATTAGATACATTTTATTTAGCAGTCTTTTTTCAGTATTTCATGTTCCATAAAACATTTAATCTCCCAATATTACATTTATAAATGAAATGCAGGATATTTCCTGCATAGATATTCCATTGTCCCTTGTTTTTTCTTGCTTTGCAATCCATTTTTATAGGGAAGGCAATAACACTATATTTAAAAAAGAATCGACAATAGATACAATGTGTCTAGTATTTAATATATTCTAGGGATGTGCTAACTTCTTCACCACAGTTATCATATTTAGTCATTACAATAGCCCTGTGAAGTATGTACTGATTATATCTCCAGGGTGCATTGGCGAGACCAGACCAAGAGAGAATAAGAGGCCCATCCAAGGTTTCCTGGCTGTTGTGCATGGGCTCATCAGCCTGTGTGAGAGAGAGCTCTGTTAGCATCTCATCCACAGTACTAGAAAAATATAGCAGACCTCTTTGTGGCAGATGTCCAGCACCAGAGCATCAACATAATTCATGCTAAGATTTGATTGTCAGGCAATTATTATGTGCAATTATATTCAGTGTTAATAACTTGCCCCGTGAGATCCTACTACTGTACTCCGGATGTGAGTTTCCTTTAACAGCCTAACAAAAATCTTTTATTCATCTGCAGTGAGGTACACTTTCTATAAATAATTGTTTCCTTGAATCATTTGGGGGTGTGGGGAGACATAGGTATCAGTTAGCCATTTTTAATACCCTGTATCTTCAAATTAGAATTTTTGAAGTCTTACTTGTATCTGTAGAAAGGCAGAAAAAGAAATTTCATGCGGTTTGCTTCCTTGGACAAGCAAAGGCAAACCCCTATCTTTTTGTCTCTGAACTCTATCCCATTTGGTTATCGAACACCTTTTAAAAAGATTTAGCTATGTAACAACGACAAATGCCTATGGCTCATTAATTTGTGATTCTTCTCTTTCTTTCTTTTAAAGATAGTGTTTTTAGAAGAAGCATCCCAACAAGAAAAGCTGGCCAAAGAATGGTGCTTCAAGCCGTGTGAAATAAGAGAACTAAGCAACCAGTAAGTCACAGCCAACTTCTTCCCTTTCTCTGGTTAACTCTTGCCCTTCACTAGTCTCAGATGATTAGAAACCTGCCTTGAGGGATGGAGAGGCTTTGTGTTTTTCCTTCCAGGGTGAGGTGAGAAGAAGGGAATTCGAGAACAGGAAGCGGAAGGATGGAAGCTTTGAGGACAGGAGGCTGCCATCATCCGTTTATTTCTTCAGCAGATCTTTGTTGAGCTTACTGTGTGCAACACCCAGGATCTGGAGGAGAAAATGATCTGTAAAGTCTTTGCCCTCACAGGGTTTACAGCCCATGGGGATCTCAGAGAGTAAGCAGGTACACAGGTATGGAAGCTCGCCAGTGATAGGTGGTGATACCTTCCGTGAAGGAAATAAAGAGGGAGGGAGAGAAAATGCCGGGGGTGGGGGTGGGGATAGAGGTTTGGGGAGCACTAACTGGCAGCATAGTTAGGGAAGACCTATCCCCCAAAGCGCACTTGAGCTGTGGTTTTATGTTGTGGGTTTTTAAAAAATATTTTATTTATTTATGTGTGTGTGTGTGTGTGTGTGTGTGGGTGTGTGTGTGTGGGTGTGGAGAGAGAGAGAGAGAGAGAGAGAATGAGCAGGGGGGAGGGGCAGAGGGAGAGAGAGAAAGAAGCAGACTCCCTGCTGAGCAAGGGCCCGACGTGGGGCTCGATCCCAGGACCCAGAGATCATGACCTTAGCCGAAGGCAGATGCTTAACTGACTGAGCCACCCAGGTGCCCCATGTTTGGGGGGTTTTAATATTTGTTCAAAACGTGTTTGCTATAATTGGCTCACTCTCTTCATAGCCTGGTTGATTTGTTTTATATAGATGGGAATACTTTATTTTTTTAAAGATTTATTTATTTATTTTGGAGGGGGAAGGGCAGTGGGAGAGGGAGAGAGGAGCTCAAGCAGACTCCTTGCTCAGTGCAAGCCCTATGCGGGGCTCGATCTCACAAACCCTGGATCAGAGCTGAGCCAAAACCAAGAGCCCGCCGCTTAACCAACGGCGCCACCCAGGCGCCCCAAGATGGGAATACTTCTTTGAACTCAAAGATTTTATCTTGTTTCAGGGCAAGTATGTTTCCAAAGTCAATGGAAGTTCCAAAATCGATAAAGATCACTTTCATTCTAAAGGTGTTTTTATCACTTGGGAAGTGACTTTAGAGTAATGTGGTGAGAACAGTGAACTAGGTGTTGGAACGCCTGGCTTGAATCCTCTCACTGCAGCTTGAAAGCAAGTCACTTCCCTTCTCTGAGCAGAAGAGTTGTTCTCAGGGATCGTGGATGCCTCCCCCACACCCTGCAGCAGCTTTGTGAACTGGGTTAGCCGTAAGGCTTTGAGGCAGAGGGGCTGGCCACAGTCCTGACAGACGGGGTGACTGCTCATAACGAAGTTTTGGTGCACTTACATTTGTGTTCACGTTTCCTACCTGCTGCCTCTCTCTGGGCTTGGAAGCTCTTGGGCAGTGGGCCGGAAAGTGAATCCAGTGGGCATGGAGATAATTCTAGCCCCTTCTGTGTTATTGTCTGCTTCCTCTTGCTAGATTTGTATGAGTGAGTGGAGGATGGAGTAGTTGGAGGATGGGGGGCGGGGTGAACACTTCTGGGGGTCTGCAAGGCCTTCTGTTCCTCTTTATGAGGCTGCTTTTGGAGGAAAGTCCATCAGACAAATGTAGACTCTGGGGTGCCTGTAGGCAGCACGCACAGAGAAGTGGTAAGGTAAGAAAAAACATAAACCTTGGTTGAAGACCGAAGTCTTTGTAGAAAAACCTTATAGCAAACACACGAGATATGTGCAGTTGAATTTCTTTAAGTCACAATTAAGATACCACAGAAGATGGAGTCTCTGACAGTGTGTTTAACAGACTTACTGTACCTGCAGGTCTATCTCAGCACAATGTAGATTTTCTTTCTTTTTTTAAAAAATATTTTATTTATTTACTTGAGAGAGAGAGAGAGCACAAGCAGGGGGAGTGGGAGAGGGAGAAGCAGACTCTCCGCTGAGCGGGGAGCCCGACATGGGGCTTGATCCCAGGACCCTGGGATCGTGTCCTGAGACGAAGGCAGATGTTCAACTGACTGAGCCACCCAGGTGCCCCACGATGTGGATTTTCTTAAGTGAAAATGACAGCCGGAGCGCCCTGAGCAGAACTCTGATAGAAGTGGATCAGATCGTGGCCGTGGACCATAGAAAGGGTGGCAGCGCCAGGATTAGGCTGAGGCAAGTGAGGCATTCACATCCGGCGAGGAATTTAAGGATGGTGGGGAAGGCGAAAATCTCAGGAATCAAGATAAGTAATAGTTTGATGCAGTATTTTTATTTATTTGTTTGTTTATTTATTTTTAAGATTTATTAATTTATTTATTTGACAGAGAGAGACACAGCGAGGGAGGGAACACAAGCAGGGGGAGTGGGAGAGGGAGAAGCAGGCTCCCCGCCGAGCAGGGAGCCCGACGCGGGGCTCGATCCCAGGACGCTGGGATCATGACCGGAGCCAAAGGCAGAGACTTAACGACTGAGCCACCCAGGCGCCACTGAGGCAATATTTTTAAAAATAAAAATTAATGCAGGGCGCCTGGGTGGCTCAGTTGGTTAAGCGGCTGCCTTC